TCCCCGATGTGTTACTAAATGTGGCATTAAAAACTACTTACAGGTGAAACTTGCTTAAAAATCAGTAAGCAGAGTCTGTTCCCAGCACTGAGAGAGAGCTCAAGAGCCAGGCTGAGCAAGGACTTTATCCAGGGGATAAAGTTTTGCTTTATCTGTGTCCCTTTTCATGTGTTATTTTTCCAGAAACCTGTAATTCTTAGTTTGGGAATAAGGTTTTCTAGCATATAAATACAATGCATGCTCCCATTTTAGATAGCACTAGAAGTACTTGAAAGTTTTGATATTATTTTTAGCACAAATATTTTTGAAAGTCTTCCCAAGATAAACCTGGTGTGTCACTGCTACTTAGGGAAACCACATTTTTTCTCCTGTTGTGAAAAATAACAAGTTGGTAGTATATAAAAGTGTTTTCTTGCTCAAACACCAAAACCCTGTCACCAAGGGTGAGTCTTCCCTGGTTCCCTGCCAGGCAAGCACCGTGGATTCCCTGGGATCTCAAAAACCCTTCTTCCTGCGTGGGTGCAGAAGTGGGAAGGATGATCCTCGTTGTTCCTTCCCTGCTGCACTTGCTAATATTGACTGGGTTTGTCATTTTGGGAACTTGAGGGTGAAAAGTTCCATCTGAGGGTGAAAAGTGCAGATGGTCCCTCCTTGCTGGGCACCCGCTGGGCACTGGGAAGGGCAAAGTTCTGCCCTCTTGGGATAAAGGTGTCCCTGCCCGTGGCAGGGGGTGGATAAGATGAGCTTTAAGGTCTCCTCAACCCAAACCATTCCATGATTTGTGACCCTGCAAAGGCTGTTCAACCCCTTTTATGGAAGTCATAAAGCACCACTTGCAATTCCCCAAGGGAAATAATTAGCCCTGAGTTCAGGTGAAATGTGGGCACAGCCACCCAGGGGTCACTGGTTTGGGTTTTGCAGCCTTGCCAAGTGACCTTGGGAAATTCCTTCCCCAAAAAGATGTGTGGAAGGGAGGAGATCATGTGGAAGCAACAAGAAAAAAAGGCACTGAGAATGAGAGAAAGGATACACTGACTTATAAACAGCTGGAAAACATGGAGTGATGGAAATCCCATCACTCAGGCCACACACTCACAGTGCTTGTCCATGGCACAGGGGGAAAGGGCCATAAATAACGAAATGAGGGGAAAAAAAACAAGATTTAAAGAAACACAGGAAATGGCATGGGAGAAACACATTCCACTAACACAATCCATAGCATTTTGGAAATAAGAATGGATTTGTGGTACATACAAACATGGCACAGCAGAAACCATTCTGCTCTGGTATTTATCACTTTATCAATTTATAACCAGCTTTTCCCTGCTATTTATCCACTCCAGGAGTAGCATAATCCCCACCATAGGAATTTATCCCTCTCCCTCCCGTTTTTGCTGGAGAAGAATCTGCTCTCCAATGTGCCAAGGAGTGAACTGAGCCCTCTGTATACAACAGGATACTTTAGCCCCTGGGGTTTGCCCACCCTCCCACAGGCAGGACTGAGTAAGGACCACAAGGGTTTCTCCTCCCAGTGTTCCTGCACCAAACTCCTTCTGCATCAGCTCAGCCAAAATAGGGCCTTTACTTCACCACAGCTGTCCCAGGTCACCCTGGTGAGAAAAGAAGAGGCCTGGTGTGCCAGCAGAGTTTAGAGAATCGTGGAATCACTCAGGCTGGAAAAGCCCTCTGAGATCCTTGAGTCCAACTGTCCCAGCACTGCCAAGGCCACCCACGTACCCAAGTGCCACATCCCCAGGAACGGGGACTCCACCATCTGGACAGCCCGTTCCAAAGCCTGAGCACACTTTTCATGAAGGAATTTTCCCCCATATCCAATCTAAACCTCCCCCAGAATCCTCGTGCTGCACATCCCACCCCCCTCCTCCAGCAGGAGCATTCTCCCAGCTCTGGCGTGGGCTCGGAGCCTCCTGCCCACCCCTGCTCCGCTCCTGCTGCGCCAGCCCTTCCCAGAGCCTCGCCCCAGCACTCCTCTGCTCTCTCACATTCCTGTGTTTATCTCCAGGGGTTACTGCTGCAGCCTCACCTCCAATGCTGGAAACACAGGAGCCCCAAAAAACTCCACTGAGAAACTGCCCCAGGGGCTGGCTCACCATGCACAGCTGAATGCCAGCCCTGCTGAGGGATTTTGGGAGCCCTAGGACAGACCCAGAGTGTGAAAGGACAGGGTCACTGCCCAGAGGGAGCACTGGGATTCTCTGGGCAGTGGCACAGGGCAGGGCAGGCACAGGGGATGTGCCTCTGTCCTTGGGCAGGGGTAGGAGCAGCACTGGAGCAACAGGAGCTGTGACATCAATTCCCATCCCACTGCTGAATTACAGAATCCCAGAATAGTTTGGATGGGAAGGGAACTTAAAGCTCATCCAGCTCCCCTGCCATGGCAGGGACATCTTCCACTGTCCCAGGCTGCTCCAAGCCCCAATGCCCATCCTGGCCTTGGGCACTGCCAGGGATCCAGGGGCAGCCACAGCTGCTCTGGGCACCCTGTGCCAGGGCCTGCCCACCCTCACAGGGAACAATTCCTTCCCAGTATCCCATCCACGCCTGCCCTCTGGCACTGGGAAGCCATTCCCTGTGTCCTGTCACAGAATCATGAAATAGTTCAGGTTGGAAAGGACCTTAAAGCTCATCTTGCTCCAGCCCCTGCCATGGGCAGGCACAGCTTCCCCTGGAGCACGGCCCCACCCAGAGCTGAGGAGCAGCCACGGCCCCTGCGCCCACTCCGGAGGATGAGGCAGGAGCAGCAGGAATGGCCTCAATACTGTGGCTGCTCTGAGCCCCTGCTGGAATGTTTAATTCCTGCTGTTATGTAAGTCCTGTTTTCTGGGTTCCCTGGCTGGCAATGATTATCACGGATTACATCTGCAAAACAACGACAGTGATGTGCTGTGGTACCTGGGATCAGGGGAGAGCAGCACCACAGCCAGGAGGGCAGCTCAGTTCTGGGGTTATTCCATCCCCACATGCAAGTGGAGTGGAAAACAGCAGCAAGGGAATTAAAAACAGATTAGAAAAATAACAATGCGGGGGAGGGAGGGGAGGGAAGTGGTTCCTGGCTTGTGAAATAGAAAAATCCAAAGATTCCTCCCATCCTCCTTGTGTTTGCACCTCCAGGCAGCAGCCAGGAGAAGGGAGCAGTTGGAGGCTGTGTAGATAAGAGAACCCTACACTGGTTTGTGGTGGAAAGGGACCTTAAAGCTCATCCAGTCCCAACCCCTGCCCTGGGCAGGACACCTTCCACTATCCCAGGCTGCTCCAAGCTCCATCCAGCCTGGCCTTGGGCACTGCCAGGGATCCAGGGACAGCCACACTGCTCTGGGCACCCTGTGCCAAGGCCTCAGCACACTTACAGGGAAAAATTTCTTCCCAGTATCCCATCTAAGCTGTCACTCCAGGCCTTTGTTTAAAGTCCCCCTCCCTGGCACAGGTTCCCATGGATCCAGCCTGTCCAGATCCCTCTGCAAACCCTTCCTGGCCTCCAGCATCCCTGTGGCTGTGGCAGGAGGAGCTGAAGTGTTGGCTGCAGCTCACTGGGGGTGGCTGAGATGGACCAATCCATCCCAGCCCATCAGGAAACTGGGGAGCCAGAGCATCCTGCCAATGCTCACACAGGTGAGAGCAGAAGGCACTGAGAGGAGACAAGAATCACTAGGAATGGGAAATCCAAGCAAACAAGTCCACCAGCAGCACTGTCAGCTCTATTTCTCACGGCAGCAGCTCCTGGCATAGTTAACAACAGCTGGCTGTCCTGGGAAAATCCAGACTCCAAGGATAAAAAGACAATTAGAAGAGCAAGGTGACAGAGCTGGCAGCCAGAGCCCTTCAGCACAGGGAAGGAGCTCCCAGTGATGGGGAAACCCACAGGCAGGAGGGGAAAAGGGAATGCTGCTGTCAGAAGAGCTGGGAATAGCTGGACTGTTACAGCCAGAGATGAGCTGGGACAACAATGACAGGAATTGTCCTGTCCTGCCACAGCCCCAGCAGAGCCACACGCCAAGGCCACCTGGCCAGGAGCTCCTGTGAGGCCGGGGGAGCAACAAGGGGATAATTCATGGAATGGGACAGGGAAGGTGCCAGATGCTTTGCAGTGTCACAGGCCCAACTCAAAATGGCTTTTGCAAACAAACCCCTGCCTTGGAAAAAGGACAAAAGACAGCCAAAATGAGTAGAGCAACAAAAGTGACATTATCAGTGGAGTGATTAGAGGGAATAATGAATTATGGCTATTTTTTAACGCTGCCATAAAGCTGGATCTGGGACACTGAAGGGGAACTCCTTGCTGGCTTGAGCTGCCCTTGGCTTCCACCCACCCAACTGCACCCCAGCCCTGCAATGGGATCCCCCCAGCTCCAGTGTCCCTTTCCAGAGTTGGATTTTCCCTTTCCACTCTCCTACAAAAGGAATTCACCCCAGGACCTGAGCAGAGGGCACCACCAGCCCTCTTCCACTCTTCTCCCCTGCTCAGAGCTCCCACCCTTCTGCAGCCCACAGAAAGCCCCCAAAGCAATCCCTCCTTGTTTTTCAAGAAGAAAAGAATGGATTAAGGCAGAAGGAATAACCAGGTATCCCAAGTAATCAACCCCCATTATCCCAGATCAATGACCCACACCACAGGGTGCTGGTTTCAAAGTGAATCCTCCCTGGGATGGACAGCCTAAACCCTCAGGAAAATCCATCTCTTCCCCAGCATGCAAACTGCAGTTGGTATTTTGGAAACTGGATACTGGGACAGGGCACAGGCTCTGGTTCCTCTGGGCACTGATCCTTCACTGTCAGAGCTGTGCTGCACAAGGAGCCCCCAGGTCACATTCCACACACAGCCACTTACAGCCTGCACCCCAAGGGATGAAACTGTGCCCAAATCTGTTGAGTCTCCCTGGATTTTCTGGCTCCTGGCAGCAAGTGCCACCATTTAATTGGATGTTGTACAAAATATTAATTATTCCTGCTCCATTTAAACCTATGAGCTGATAATTCCCTCCTTTTTCTTGTTATAAGCACTTCTCCCCAGACTTCCTAGACTCAGACAGTCACAGAATTGTTGAGGTTGGAAAAGACCTTAAGGATCAAGTCTAACCATTAATCCAGCACTACCAATGTGGGAATCCAGGGCTTCCCTCTGGCTGCCCTGGCAGGTCTGGGACCCTGGCAGGGGTCAGGAACCCCCCTGGACAGAGCCCCCAGAGACACTGGCTGTGATCTCTGTCCATGGAAAAGAGTTTTCAATCTTACAGGATGAATTACAAGCTCTGAGTGTTTGATATGAGTAATAATTAAGTGTGGCACGGGTGCAAAGGTAAAATTTTAGGTTTCTAGATTAGGGGTTCAGAGGGGACAAGATGGAGGAAATTGGGTGTGTCTTGTCCACTTTCTCCTCCTTCATGCCCTCCATGTTTCACTGTGGTGTTGGCATTTTTCTGTTGGTTCAGGCTGGGGACACACTGTCCAACGTAGGTGACAGATATTGGCACGTTATTGTAAATCCAGCACAGGTAGTTTGTGGTATTTAATGTTTGTACCATCCCACTGAGGGCAGAGCCCCACACGCTGCCCTGCAGGACAGAGCTGCGGCAGGGCAGCAGAACATGTTAGAGATAAACAGAATAAGCAACCTTGAAACCAGCACAGACCAATTATGGCTTCTGCTTTGGCAGCGGGGCTGACAGACAGAGACTTTCTACAATCCTGGAATCATCAATACCCACAGATTCCGACATACCAAAACCACCAATAACCCCTGTCCCCAAGTGCCACATCCACACAGCTGTTAAACCCCTGCAGGGATGGGAACTCCAGCACTGCCCTGGGCAGCTGTGCCAGGGCTGGACAGCTCTTTCCATGAAGGAATTTTCCCAAAATCCCCTGGCCCAGCCTGAGGCCGCTCCCTCTCCTCCTGTCCCTGTTCCCTGGGAGCAGAGCCCGACCCCCCCGGCTGTCCCCTCCTGTCAGGAGCTGTGCAGAGCCACAAAGTCCCCCCTGAGCCTCCTTTTCTCCAGGCTGAGCCCCTTCCCAGCTCCCTCAGCCTCTCCTGGGGCTCCAGCCCCTTCCCAGCTCCCTCAGCCTCTCCTGGGGCTCCAGCACATTTCCTATACCATTAACCATCATCTATGTGGCACCTTCAGCTGTCCTTCTCTGAGATGAAAAATTTACTTTCCATCACCCTCCTTCCCTTCTCAGAGGAGAATTTATTTCTCTGGTTAATCTTGTGCCTGTTTGGTTGTTTGGGTTTTCTTTTCAAGTTCTGTTGAAAACCCTGTGAGTCACTGACAGGGCATCTCCAGGGAAGAGATCACAGCAGCACACAGAGCAAACCTGCATTCCTTCTTTTCCACTCTATCAATTCCCAGTTTTTCTGCACTCACTCCAGCCCCAGCCAAAGGAACCAGCTGCCTCTGAGAGTGGCTGGCAGGTGAGCTGCTCCTGGCACAGACACCAGCACTGAGCTGTCCAGGGAACTCCTGGATTTCTGCACCATCAACACCAAAATCCCGTTCTGTCAGCCCTGAATCTGCTCCTCATCAGGTGAGCACTGGAATCTCAACACGGCTTTCACCCTCTCTCCTGCTGGGATCCCCAAGTAGGGAACCAAAAGGAGTCACCAACTCTCTCTCCAAGCAGCCCAAGTCCATTCTGGGGAGTTTTCCTAGTGTTTAAAATAACAGGAACAGATTTCCATCCTTCCCTGCACAGTTTTCCAAAGATCCCCTTATTACAGAGCCAATAAAACAATTATTAATTCAGTACTCATAGAATTCCTGGATGTCATGATACTGCTCTAAAAAGAAATGATAGTTTTATTATCTATTTTTGTATTTGTTTAAAGAAAATCCACCAGCCAGAGTCACCAAATATAGAGGGTAAACACAGAAATCTGATTTTCAGGCCAGGTAACAGCACAGGGCCATAGCCAGCACTGATAAAAGCAGGTGATGGATGAAGACAAATCAACTTTACTACAACTTTACCAACACTTTGCAATCCCACCTAGCAACAGGAATGCCATGTTTGGCTGAGCAGAGCTTGGTCTGGGACTGTCCTGTCCTACTGTCACACTCTACATGTGTTTTAGAGGAATTAAGCACATGTGATAATTGAGGAAAGAGCTAAGCCAGCAGCTCAGCTCCACTCTCACTTTCTGCCACTAATCTGCTTGGAATCCCTGGGCAGGTTTCCCCCTGGGCTGGTTTCTCCTGGGAAGCAGGATGAGGACAGGGAGCTCAGGTCACATCTCCCAGCATCAGTGTCCCAGGTCACAGCTCATTACCAAAATATTCCTGTAACCACAGCGGGCAGAAGGGAAACCAGAGCTCCCCCACGCACAGAACAGCAAAATCTCCCACCCCATACTTGGTTTGGGGACAGGCTTTGCTGTTACAAACAGACATAAAAATCAGTCCTGTGAAATGGCCCCTGTGGGTGCACAGCTCCAGCCAGCAGCTGAATAAAAAACAGAGTTAAAAACACTTCCACAGCTGTTCAATTCAGGAGAACTCCTGGGGGAAAGACCCTTTTCACCCACCCCAAAATGGTGACCCAGCAGTGAAAAAAAAAAATATGGGCTGCAATTTGTCAGTCCTCCTACCCATCAAATTTCCCATCAAATCTCAAACACCCTGACAGCCCCGAGGGATCACTGATTCTGCAGAAGCCACGAATGGAATCCCAGCCCAGGCTCCAGCAGGCCTGTGGGGGATCCAAGGCTGAGCAGTGCAGCTGACACAGCAGAAGGATGGGGACACCCAGGAGGGTGGGAAGATGGAGAGGGCCCAGGAGATCCTCACAGGGTTCAGGTGCCAGGTCCTGCATCCAGCTCAGGGCAATCCCAGCCGTGAGCACAGGCTGGGAGAGGAACTCCTTGAGAGCAGCCCTGGGGACAAGGACTTTGGGGTGCTGCTGGGTGAGGGCAGCTCTGCCCCAGCCCTGAAAGCCCCTCAGCCCTGTGCTGAGCCCCAGCCTGGGCAGCAGGGCAGGGGGGTTTCTGCTCCTCTGCCCCACCTGCAGAGCTGCCCCAGCCCTGGGCAGGCACAGGAGGGACCTGGAGCTGCTGCAGAGAGCCCAGAGGAGGCCACAGAGATGCTGCAAGGGCTGGAGCCCCTCTGCTCTGAGCCAGGCTGGGAGAGCTGGGGGTGCTCACCTGGAGAGGAGAAGCTCCAGGGAGAGCTCAGAGCCCCTTGCAGGGCCTGAAGGGGCTCCAGGAGAGCTGGAGAGGGACTGGGGACAAGGGATGGAGGGACAGGACACAGGGAATGGCTCCCACTGCCAGAGGGCAGGGATGGATGGGATATTGGGAAGAATCTCTTCCCAGTGAGGGTGGTGAGGCCATGGCCTCTGAACCAGGCAGGGCAGCAGGCAGTGCCCATGAGCACAGAGGCCACAGGGATGCTCTCTGTGTCCTTTCCCAGAAGGACAGACAGCATCAGACACAAACCTGCTCCTCTGCCCACGTTACTTGCCCCCTCTGCCATCCTCTCCCCACCTTCTGGCCTCCCAGAGCCATGGATGCTCCTCCTTGAGGGCACAAATCCCTTCAGCTGCTCACCACCCTTGGCACTCACTGGAGCCCACCTGGGCTCTGCAGAGCAGCCCCTGGGGAACACACAGGTTTTGGGGATCCCTCAGGGTACGAGGACACAACTCAGGCAATTCTGCACATGAGCAGACTTGAAGGACTGGGGACTTTTACAGCAAATCCCAGAACCTCTTCACTTACAAACATCCACCCCAATGCTCATAGGGACACAACATCAGGAATTCTATTTTGATTCAAGCCAAACATGCAGTCACTCTTTACTATAATTAAAAGATCTCTAATTGGCACAAACCATCAGCCAGGTGAACATTAAGGTATAAAGTAATTCACTGATGTGCTCAGGATTCAGCACTCACTCACAGAGCACAAGGTTTCAGCACCCATTTGCAGAGTGTCTTATCCCCTCGATCAGATCAGGAAAGCCTGGAAAAGCAGGAGTCTGCTGTGCATTTTCTGTTCCATCAGCTCCATGGCCTGGGTCACAGCTGAGTCAGCAGAGCCTCGGGGCAGCACAGCCACATCCACAGCACTGCCCTCAGCCAGAGCTCAGCACAGCCACAGCCTCAGCACAGCCAGCCTCTGCATTTGCTATTTTTATGGGCAGACACAAACCAAAATAGCTGTGCCTGACTCGGGAGGCAGCGTGGCTGACAACCCTGACCCAGCACTGCCACAGCCCCACGGTGCCCAAGGGAAGGTAAAGAACACCCCCTCCCCTCCAGGAGATCCTTTCCCACACACCCACCCAGCTGAAGGACTCAACAGCCCCCACAGCCACCTCAGTGCAGCCAGGACCAGCAGTGTCCACCCTAAACAAGTGTGCTCAGAAACTTCCCCCTTCTCCTGGATCAGCTGGGCTCTCTGTCAGTATTTGCATATTCCAGAGCTGGAATTTTAAGGAACAGAAAGTTCACAGCACTTAAAATCACACAATGTTTGGGGTTGGGACTTTAAATAGCATGTGACCCTGGGCAGGGTCACCTTCCACCAGCCCAGGCTGCTCCAGGCCCCATCCAGCCTGGCCTTGGGCACTGCCAGGGACCCAGGGGCAGCCAGAGCTGCTCTGGGCACCTTGTGCCAGGTCCTCAGCACCCTCCCAGGGAGCAATTCCTTCCCAATATCCCATCTAACCCTGCCCTCTGGCAGTGGGAAGCTATTCCCCCTTGTCCTGGCACTTCTGTCCCAAGTCCCTCTCCATCTCTCTTGGAGCTCCTTTAGGCTCTGGAAGGTGTTTGAAGGTCTCCCTGGAGCCTTCTCCTTTCCATTTCTGAAGTTTGTTTACTGCAGCTTGAAGCTGTGCTTGCTTGGGAGAAGAAAACCCAGTGTTAATCCCAGAGGAGTTATAGACATTGAAATACAAACTCACAGAATCATTGAAATATTTCTAAAATATTCTGTTTGCCAAGCCTAACTGACCCATTACAGAGCAGAACAATGGCACCCTGGGGAGGAGCTGTGAACCAGGCACAAGGCTCTGACAGCTTTACAACGTGTAACTGTCCCAAACCTACTCCAATAAACACCACAACAAAGGGGCAGAGGCAGAAATATCTGTGTCATTCATGCACCAAACTTCCCCAAGCTATGGAACACCACCCATGTGGTGCCCAGCCCTCTGACCACAGCATTTACAGCATTCCCAGCACAAAGTCTCCAGGAGAAAGACACCTCATTCTGCCTTCCAGAAACAGCATCATTAGCTCATTGTTACTGCCTCTCCACAATTCACATCCATTCCCAGGGCTCCAAAGACCTGCTCAAAGCTGCCCAGGCAGCTGAGATGACAAAGGGGTGCAGCAGGGCTGGTCCAACCCTTTGTGTCCCTGGGAGACCATCAGCAACCTCCAGCTATGCATGAAACCCCAGCTGGGTGGGTTCTGCACCCTTCAGCCAGCACAGCAGGGCTGGGTGAGCAGAGCACAGCAGAGCACAGCAGGGCTGGGTGAGCAGAGCACAGCAGAGCTGGCTGAGCAGAGCACAGCAGAGCACAGCAGAGCACAGCAGAGCTGGCTGAGCAGAGCAGAGCTGGCTGAACAGAGCACAGCAGGGCTGGGTGAGCAGAGCACAGCAGAGCACAGCAGGGCTGGCTGAGCAGAGCACAGCAGGGCTGGCTGAGCAGAGCACAGCAGAGCACAGCAGGGCTGGCTGAGCAGAGCACAGCAGCTGGAAGGCTCTGGCTGCTCAGGGGAACTGTACCTGACTGGTTGTTGCGCATGCGGATGGCCTTGGCCTTGGCCAGCTCCAGGGCCGT